GCTTTACCGCTAAAACGAAATTTTCACCACTCTCAGTAGGATTTTGTTTTCTACAACGAAATTTGTATCGTAACATTATTTCCGAATCGATTTTGTCAAAGCGTTCCTTAAGCTTTTTCGTTATGTCCACATACTTTAATGTCTTTAGATCTGTAGCCGGGTATAAAAGCTTTAACTCCTCAAAAACCGTTAGTCCTGCACAGCTCATAAAAATATCTTTTTTTTTGTCTTCCGCAATATCATTTGAAGAAAAGAAATATTCAATCAACTCTACATAATTTGAGAAACTGGTGCCAGGCACATACGGATCGATTGTGCCAATCAACGCCATTTTAGCTGCACCGAATCAAAAAATTATGTGCGCACTTTTAATCACCAATTTTTTTAATAGTGAAGGAAAAAAAATCACATACCTTGAATTTTACTGCAACAACTTCCTCTAGATCCGCCCGATACAATCCAATAGCAATCAGGAATTGTCCGTTTACCTTGCTGCAGCCGGCTACCAGCTAGTCTCTCCACTGGGACTCCGAAATTAACCTAGGCAAATAATTTCGGCAGCACAATTAATCATCAATAAAAAAAGCGAAATGAGCAATAAAAAATCTCAAATTGGCCACTAAATACTACAGGGGTGCACCAATAAACAAAAAACAAGTTGCAATAGAAATGAAGAAAAAGGCAATAAACAAATAAAAAGCTTCTTTTAATAATTTGAATGTGAGCGGTAAAAATGGCAAAAAGGGCAATAGTAAATACAATACGCTCAATTAAATAAGGATGAATATCCTCTAAATTAGGAAATTTGAGCACTAAATAACTCACTTTCGTCACCTGCAGTTGAACATATTTTCCCATAAAAGTGGCAAAATGAGCAATGTTATATTGAATAACCGCAATAAATAAATCAAAAATGTCCCACACAAAGCGCACAGTTATCACTGTTTTAATCCAATTATGCTGTAAAATCGTGATTATTTCCCCAAGAAAAAAAATGAAAATATCTTTTAAAAACTGAAAAAGTTCCAGGATCCAGGAGATAAATGTATGCTTGAACATGAGGATGAGCCATCGTAAAATATGAATCGTTCTTAAAGAAAAGAAAATAATTCATGCAGGAAAGTAAAAATGAGCAATTAAAAACGAACCCTGCGCAACATAAAATAAAACAAAATTCCAATGATATTCAGGAAATATTCCTTTAAATTGAAAGTTTATGAGCCAATAACCCCGATCAATTTCCATATGGTATTTTCAAGACAGCGATAAGTAGTGATACTGTGTCTTGGCTAACAAAGTCGATGTCGATAAAGAAGATTAACGAATGTGGGTCTCATTGAAAAAGGTACCATTAAACAAAATCAAAAGAGCACTAAAAACAGCTGTTTGAGCAATATATACGTCACAAAAGAGCACTAGAAAATGCCATTTGAGCAATATAAAGGTAAAAAAAGGCACAAAAAGCACAATGAATGTCTAAGGGAAAATTTCAAAACGCTCAACAAAAAATAAGAAATGAGCAAGAAACGTATAAAATTAGCACTCTGAAAAATAAATTGAGCATTTTATAGGCCATGAAGGTCACTAAGAACGAAAACAATATCTTTTGAAAACCTGCAAATCTTCATCGAACCATAGACAAACAGACGTAACACTCGCATATTGTACATCGAACACGCATATACCGGTCAATTTAAATATGTGTTAGTTGATAACACCTCCGCCGGTGGCCCCCATAGTTAACTTAATCTTGTCTTCATTTGATTGTTGTTAAAAAATGAGGCGATAGTTCGATCACAGACAAGCAGACATAATACATTGAATAGTTTCCACTGTAAACCATCTTCACTAAAACATTACCGCCATCTGTTGAGAACACTGTCACGGGTAGCACGCTCAACAGATGGCAGTAGTGTGTAAACATCAAACGCAAGGAAATTAACTATGGGCGCCACCGGCGGAGGTGTCATCAACTAACACATATTTAAATTGATCGTTAAATGCGTGTTCGATGTACAAGATGCGAGTGTTATGTCTGTTTGTCTATGGTTCGATGAAGATTTGCAGGTTTTCAAAAGATATTGTTTTCGTTCTTAGTGACCTGCATGGCCTATAAAATGCTCAACTTATTTCTCAGAGTGCTAATTTTATACGTTTCTTGCTCATTTCTTATTTTTTGTTGAGCGTTTTTGAAATTTCCCCAGGGACATTCATTGTGCTTTTTGTGTCTTTTTTTACCTTTATATTGCTCAAATGGCATTTTCTAGTGCTCTTTTGTGACGTATATATTGCTCAAACAGCTGTTTTTAGTGCTCTTTTGATTTTGTTTAATGGTACCTTTTTCAATGAGACCCACATTCGTTAATCTTCTTTATCGACATCGACTTTGTTAGCCAAGACACAGTATCACTACTTATCGCTGTCTTGAAAATACCATATGGAAATTGATCGGGGTTATTGGCTCATAAACTTTCAATTTAAAGGAATATTTCCTGAATATCATTGGAATTTTGTTTTATTTTATATTGCGCAGGGTTCGTTTTTAATTGCTCATTTTTACTTTCCTGCATGAATTATTTTCTTTTCTTTAAGAACGATTCATATTTTACGATGGCTCATCCTCATGTTCAAGCATACATTTATCTCCTGGATCCTGGAACTTTTTCAGTTTTTAAAAGATATTTTCTTTTTTTTTTTCTTGGGGAAATAATCACGATTTTACAGCATAATTGGATTAAAACAGTGATAACTGTGCGCTTTGTGTGGGACATTTTTGATTTATTTATTGCGGTTATTCAATATAACATTGCTCATTTTGCCACTTTTATGGGAAAATATGTTCAACTGCAGGTGACGAAAGTGAGTTATTTAGTGCTCATATTTCCTAATTTAGAGGATATTCATCCTTATTTAATTGAGCGTATTGTATTTACTATTGCCCTTTTTGCCATTTTTACCGCTCACATTCAAATTATTAAAAGAAGCTTTTTATTTGTTTATTGCCTTTTTCTTCATTTCTATTGCAACTTGTTTTTTGTTTATTGGTGCACCCCTGTAGTATTTAGTGGCCAATTTGAGATTTTTTGTTGCTTGTGCTTTGTTAATTAGGGTACGTATATATTTTAGTCAAATAATTTCACCAACTCAAACATCTATTTTTCAAACACTATCTTTCACAATGTCTACAATAATACATCGGCGTCCTTATTGGCGTCGCTTCTATCGACCGGCACTGTAGAAAACGGCAATCCACTCTTGTTTTACGGATCCCTTCTGATCCCGCGTTCAATAAATAACGACAGTCCTAATTTTCTTCTTACGACCAATCGCAAATTGCCAACTTTTAGGCCACTAATCCGCACGCAACCTTTAACTACTTTCTCCTCGTCGTCAAATTGTTGTGATCACTACTTGTTTAAATAACTTGAAACAGGACTGTTTACGGTTGTCACTGGTATCCAACTGAACTCAGTGGTCTTTATTTCAGGAACTATTTATAGCAGATCATAACAATAAACAACATTCAATAATCATCTGTTCTTTGTTTACCTATATACTATCACCACAATATATTCATAATTCGATCAGCGCCGCCGCCGGCTATGTTCACTTGCTTCTGACACTGAAACGAATGTAACCACGAATATTACAATATCTATATGCAATCTTCACACTGCCGTACTCTAACGGAACTATCAACTCTATGCTTTCATCTACTCCATCTATCGTATAAAAATTACCACTACAGTCTGTTATTTCAAATTAGCATCTTCAACTATGTAAATCGTTGACTTCACGTCTTACCTATCGCTAACCACGTTCGAAGCAAGTATCAAGTACTAAGTATGTGAAATTACGATAGAAATCATTTCATATCGCAGTCATAGTTTTTAAGTGATAATCCAATGGAACCTATCAATCATCATATAGAATGAATAAATCTGCTGACATTGCTATGTTATAAGATGGATCCAATAAACGGTACAAGTCGATTTGTTTCAGTATACAATCGTGTCATCTGCCGCTCAAAAGTATTCGAACGAATTTGATAGCAAAGATTACATCCTCAGAAGAAAGGTTTGTGTGTTTGCTCATTTTTCTATGCGTTGCTTCCAAGCGCAGCGCTATTGTATCTGTCGCTTGGATTATGGCAAAGTTGCCAGTCTTCTTGATATGATGTCTTCGCTGTTAGTTTATTCAAGTGGAGCCGAGTTTTTAAATAAAAATGAAAAAAAGATATGTTAAAATCTATAAAATCAAAAAAAAAAAATAGAATTAAAATTAAAATAAAAAAAAAATCTATTTTTTCCACAATCCATGTAAACAAACAACCACCAAATGCAAAAAACTGAGGTTAACCCGACAGTGCAGCTCCCTATTTCTTGTGTCTGCAAAATGACAGCTTCTCATAGAATTCCCGAACCTTCATAGTAAGAAACAAACCTTCCTGTCATCATTTTTGTTCCAGCAAACCAAGTAAAATGAACCAAGGTGGACACCGGAAAACAAGCAGAAGCAAAACCAAAGGCGAATCATAACAACGACGATGACGACGACGGCAGGCGAAATCCGATCATGACCCGCGGTGGGGAATGTGGAATTTGTGACAAAGTGAAAAGACTGTTTGTTTTAATTTTTTTAAATTGGTCGTATTGTTATTATTTTTAACATTAGATAATAATTATAATTTTCCAAAAAAGAAATAATATAAGTATGTACAGAAATTTACACAGGCGTTTATGTAGTAGAATTTTCATACTTTTCAACTTTGTTTTTTTTTTCTTTCTCCTCTCTCTAGTTTTCATCCGCATCGCGTCGGTCCATATTTCCTTTCCTCTCAGCGCGCAACTTCATACATACCACTACCGAATGGAACAAAAAAATCATAAATTTACACTTCATTCTTTTCTTCTCTTATTCAAATATTTTACTGTCAGTTGTTTTTATTTTTTGTTCTGATAGTGGTTATACACATATTTTTTTTTTCTGTTCTTCCAGCGTTTTTGTTTTTAGTAAGCCATCTTACGTTAACTGATTATTGGACAATTTAGTTTTTGCTTTTTTTTTACGTTTACGTGTGTGTCGACAATGTTGCAGCTACGCGTATGGGAACATGAGAAATTCCAAAGAATGATTTCTAGTGCTTTATATGTGTGTGTGTGTGTGTGTGTGTTTGTTTGTGAATGTGAGTTTGGGTGTGTACGCGGAAGGGTTGAGTTCGTGTTAAATAATAAAAATAAAATAGAGTAACGGTGTCGTTAATGGGAGGAGTATGAGAGTATTGTGTTTTATTTTTACTTCTGTTTCGTAGGCTCAAATGTTTCACCATCAATGTGCAACAACAATTACCGGTTTTCTGAATGAGAGACTTTGTTAAAGGCTTGTTAGGAATTTGAATATATTTGACATCGTTCATATTTGTTTTACTTCATCCATTTATTTAAAAAATAACAGCTTAGGTACAGTTGACAATGTAATGATTCCACTTTATTTTATATCATATAGCGCATGTGTTGTTTCTTTTTAATTATCTTCACTTTCCTTTAACTTTATAGTTTGTATTAATGCTGATAAGATTCTATATGTGCTTTCTTTTGCTGTCTGACATCGAGATTTTGGACATTTTATTTTATTTTCTTCAAATAAGTTAGATTTCTGCATATGCGGTCTAAGGGTTTTTTTTTTTAAATTTAGAATTTTTCTCTTCTATCTTCCGAAAATTTTGCTTCAACAATTCCGCTTCGAAAAACTGTCAAAAGATTTGAAAAAAAAGTTCGATACCAACAAATCGGATGTGGGCCAAAATATGTTTCTCAAAGACTTTTCGTTTAAACTTTTTTTTTGGATCGCATCAATAGTGTGTTTATTTCGGTTTTAGTTTTCTGTTTTTTTTTTGTTTTTAGTCATCTGCTTACTGAATAATATTTTTCTCTGTTTTCCTGTTCTGCTAGCGTAGTTTTTCATCTTTTTTCAGTTATATTTTTTGTATTTCTGCTACATTATAATGCACGACTAGATAATACTGGAAATTAAATCCTACACGAAATCATTTCAACTTTGTTACCACCATTTTTTTTCGGCTTGACCATCGTAACTTCTTCCTATTAATCGGTTTGTTTTGCTCCTAGAAAAAAATTACAATCTTCTGCTTGTTTGTTTTTTTTTCGCGATTTTCCATCTGTTTTTCAGTAAACATCTCAACAAAGGCGTTCTTCTTCGCTAACAAAAGGAAAGAAGTGCAGAAACAAATGCGAGGAAAATTCGTAACTGGTATTTGGACGAGCATACAAAAAGTCATAAGTTTTGGTTTTTGTTTACATTAAGGCAATTCAATTGATTTTTCGCTACGTGTGGTTTATGTTTTGTTTACACTGCGTTGTTTTTCTTTTGTTTTATCCATCGAATCATTCAAAAAGATTTTGCTACTTAAAAATTTCTGGTGTATCATTTACTTTTAAGGATCATGTTCATCATTAGTTCTTTTGTTTAGTTTAGTTTTTTTTTCGATTTGTTTTTCAATTAGGTACGCTTGCTATGATCGTTCGCACGGTTTGTTTTGGAATTTAGATTTTATCAGGGCCATCTCCGATCATTGTTTGAGTGTGTGTGTGTTGCAGCCGCCGCGGCTTTGGGTTTGAACGAGGGGTCTTCCATTTTGCGATCTTCGCAGCAGCGCTCACAAATGCTTGCCTCGGCATGACACAAGTGCGGTTTTTTCGTTTTAAATTTAGCACGAAAGATTGCAACATCCGTTTTATTTTCATCAAACTTAAATATAAGTTTTATGAATGAACTTTATTTATAAAAGACGAGAAATAAAAACACACACGGTTTGTGTGTGTTTTTTTTTTGGGTGGGATGAATGAGCAAAGGACGGGGGGGGGGGGGAGGGGGGCAGCGTGTTCGGGAGAGTGTGGTGAGCTGAACCGAAATGAAAACGGATGCGGCGGGAACATGAGCGAGATGGCACGATTGAACGCGGGGGGAATGTGACTTTGAGTGAGAACGATCGGACCGTGTGGCTTGGCAAACTATCGCGTCAGTCGTGGCTTTTTCTGTCACACATTCCGTGTGTTGTTGTTGAGAACGGGTGAGAAATGGCCTGCTGCTAACGGGCAAAGAAATTGCGACGTATTTTTTTCGCTCGATATTCGGAGAACGATCACGTCGGCGGCGGCGGTATGCTCAACTGCTGTCGAATAGATTCGTCATAGGTAACCTGTGAGCAATCGCGAGATTCACAGTTCAGTCTCACGCACCCATCTCGTCATTTCAGACAGAAATGAAGTTTAATGAATGAAAATGGCAGTCGTTTCCTGTTTTCAAAAGCATGCTGGATTTTCTCTCCCGGCTTTCGAAAGAGGAAATCTCCAAAGATAAATGTTCTACTTGAGTTGAGATTTCCTACTCTTTTCGTTTTGCTCACGTTCTCGACGTGCAGTGCAGCAACCGGGACCCGCCGTGTGTAGCACACGATCTCGGTCTGACTGGACCCTTAAAGAAAAATAAAGAAGAGATAGGGAGAGCTCGCGAAGCGAGGAGACGACTTTCATAGCTTGATAAATTAGACAGGAAATTCATAAAAAAAGATCGTGCTGCATGCAGGGCACGTATAGATTCTCCGGATCGGTTCCTAACCTCAAAAACGACGAATGGAGAGAGAGAGAGAGAGACAGAGGTTAAAAAAAGAAGCATGGCAAGCTTGGATTACGCCATACGGTCGGGATTCGGGTTCCATTTCATGCGATCACCGGTGACGGTGAACGTCGTGCTCGATTTTCGGACGACCCTCGAAAATATTTGGTCTCGGATTCCCGAAAAATAAAAGAAAACATAATTTCCCTTTCAGAAAATCGACATTTGCCAGGGTCATAGTGAGCGGGGAATAAAAAGGAGTTCTCCTGAAAAAAAAAGAAAAGAAAAAAGATAGCATTCCTTTTTTTCGAGACCCGTAAAACAGATGGTTCTGATTTTGTTCTCTTCATGCTGCCAGGCCTTTATTGATTCGTTTCGCTTCACAATTCATATTTATCAGGAAATGAGCCGGGAAGAAGAAGCTCATGTGCTGAAAGAATCAGTTTGAGAATGGAAATCGATTATTTTCGACTTCCAGGAAGAGTAGGCCGTGAGCAGAATCATCAGCGGGATTTTTCAGCTCGTCTCTCTCGCTCTCCAGGAATGTTGATGTTTGTGCAAAAATTAATAAATTTCATCTAATGAACATCGAAGATTGTATAGGAAATAAATATGTATGTTTTGCGTGTAACAAATTTCTCGTTCGAGAAGGAAGTTGTAAAATATGTGCCTTCTTTATTTTTTGTTCCCGCCGTCAATGCGGTTACGAACTGCTGTTCTCTCCCTCTGGCTCCGTTCGTGCACCCAGTTCCAGCGGCTGAAGAAATATTATTATCTGTTATTTATGTTCACTTGCAACCATATAGGTTATCACCAACGAATAAATATTTCCCGTCCGCACAGACCGCGTGCGCTGGTGAATCCACTCACTTTACATAGCCATATTAAGCGGATTCCAATGTGTGTACATACATATTTTGTCAAGCGGTGCAGTCAAGCCCCTCAGCGATCAACGAAATGCCTTGAATGAGCTTCGATCGATTGACACTCGGCGGCAAGCATCGAAGAGCCCCTCGGATCGCACACATACATGCGATCGCTTTGGAGACGGGATCATGCATGGTGGTGTGAATGCACCACTTTAATCAGCGCTTTTATCAATTTAAATAACAATGAACCGATTTTTTTTTCGCCCCTGATCAGGGCCGTGACTGGATTTACTGACGCTGCAAGAATGACCGCGTGAACCACACTCGGCGAACCTTTGGATTCTCTTCGGAGCGATTGGAAACGTGCATATTTTTCGATTTTTAATCAGTTCACACGTAGATCGGAGATGTAAGGGGTCCCCCTCGTCCCAAACGAAGCCACCAACCGCAACAAAAGCTCTTTTGTTTTGAATCTATTTTTCTGTTCTTATTTTTTCGGAAATTTTTCTGTGTCCGCATTTGTGTATGTCTGTATGTATTTTCCTCGTTTCGTTCCTGGCTGTGAATTTTGTTTTTGTCTGAAATACAATTAGCTCATACCGGATAATGCTGATTTGTTTTCATTCTTGCTTTCTTTCCTTTTTTTCATTCCTGTGAGGTAAATATTTACACAGAAGAATAACACACGTTTGCATTCGCCCGCTTCCCAGACACTCTGCTCACGTGGAACACTCGCTCTTTCTCACCGCACGCGCACACTTGGCCACAACAGACTCAACTAGAACGCTCCCAAAAATATATTACAGTTTTTTTTTTTCAGTGGTTCTTTCGCGTGTTTTTAAATATAAATATGCTTATCATCTCTTTTCCTTTTTCCTTTTCTTTGCGATTCTCCTCCTAACGGTCTATATACATCCTTCATCAAACGTACTCATTTTTTTAAGAAAATAGTTTCTTTGCTTGCCGCAGAGGCTCCCTACATTAAATTAGTCGTTTTTTTTGGATAAATATGTATAAGATATTTACATGATTTTGTTCAACTCTCGTTCATTTGTTTTCCTAGAATTCTCTTGCAGTTCCCTCTTCTTGCAGTCGGCCTAACCTCCTGTAACCGGCGTTTGGTTTGCGCACTCAGAATATATTTTCTCGCATTTCCCCCGATATTTCTAAAATACCGGGAAAACAGTCGTACACTTCCATTTTTCCGTACACTTGTTTGCTTAAAACAAAACTTCAGGTAGGAAATAAATTACGCATATGAACAAAACAACGATTATGATACTCGCTCGCGCTCTTTTCCTCGCTCTCTCTCTGTCTCACTCACTCGATCCCGCCGTTCTTCGGTCGTCCAACCATTTGGAAAATGTCCTATCTAATTCCCTACGGAGCAGCGAACGCGTGCATTCCGCTATTATATACCTGTCGCCCCCGGGGTCCCCACTGCAATCCGCACGCGTCCTCGACTCAATTAAAAAAAAAATGATCCTCTCTGGAAAATTGAGAGACTTGATTTGTTTGCCATAAAAATTGTATACAGTTAGAATAAATTAGTTATTTTTCCCGCGTCCTAATGCATCTACCGCCTGCTCCTCCTCGAATTTCTTTAGTAACTGTAGCTGTATTGATTTTTGTAACGAAACCTAGCAGTAGTAATAGGAAGGTAGTGTAATAGTAGTAGTTGTAGTTTTGTGTGTAGTTTGACTCTAATTCGACTTTTCTTCCTCGATCGGTATGTATCGGCAATCATCGTTACAAAATATTCAAGCCCGTATATTAGCGAATAATTTACAGTTTTGCTTCCTCCGCATCGTTTCGTTTTGCTTGCATTACACGAAAAAAAAATACATTATTTATATCAAAAAACATAACTCAATAATAGTCTGCAGTCTTTGGTTAAATTATAATTAAAAAACATTTCTCCCGTTCCTATATATGCTTCCAATTCGCTTTTGCTCATTTGCTTCTGCTTCTCTCGCTCTCTCTCTGTCTGTCTATCTATCTTTTTTCTATATAGCCACAGAATACGCGCGTGCATTGTCTGGTGCGCTCGCCGAGTTTATTATTATTACTACTACTATTGTTTACCGTTGAACGCCGGATGCGATCGTGATCTCTGCCAGCGGGCCTCGTTTCTCGAAAATGGCAGCAGCTGCCGCCCCCTTCGTTGCTCGCTTACAGATACAGCATATATCAGTACTCCGGGCTGGAATCGAGCAGGCGTTTTTCGGGTGTAAGATCGCCCGAATGATGATGATGATGATGGTGGTGACTATGATGATGATGATGGTGGTGGTGTCCCTTGCCGAACGGGCTAGTACTGTTGACGGCTGAGAATTTGCTGCTGATATTGCTACCGTGATCGAGGTTACCGTTGCCACCGTGGGAGCCACCGTTACCACCGCCGAGACCACCACCGCCCAGGCCGGTTCCACCGAGGATACTACCGGCGAGACTGCTACTGTTCTGCGACTGACAGCGGCAACCGTGTCGGGAATGTTTAGCGTAGCATTTCGCACAGACGGCGACACAACCCCGCATTGGCCAGTAGCACAGGAGGCAGGGTAGTGGTAGCGACAGGGCTGCCAGGCAGCCCCACCGGGTCGTTCGCTTATGGGGAACACAGGAGCATGGATCGTCCGCACAGGATACCGTGTCGGTTTCGCGCTCCAGCTCGTGATCCTTGGAACAGTGGTAGAATAGGGCCTTGACGCAGCACAGGCACGACGCGTAGTCGATGATCGTCTCCGCACTGCAGAGACAGGTCTTATCGCAAAGCCACCGAGAGGGCAACTGCCGTGGCCGTTGGCATTCTTCGCATCGACACTTTTTACACTGAGGACAGGTGATGGAATTAAGTAGATCACCATTCGACGGGTGCAGGTCGATGTCAAGCTCGTGCAGACCGGCTGCCGGTGAGTCTTTGCTAAAAGTGTTTGATACTGGTTGTTTGGTAATTGGCAATGTAGTTGACTGTATCGTAGGCGCACCACTGCCGGACAGGGGCATGCCGGTCGTTGCCGTAGTTGTCGTCGTCGTCGCCGCCGTCGTGTGTCCCAATGGTAATTGATTTGGCCTAGTGTTGATGGTGTTATTGTTAAAATTCCTATTGCTGCTGTGCAGCGTCGTGGTCGTCGCCGTGGATCCAATTGGCTTACCGAGGGTCGACACCGTTGTACTATTGCTACTAGGGTTAGGGCTAGGCGAATGTAATCGATTATTGGTTTGCGATACTGATAGTTGTCGGTGCTGGTCGGCGGGACTGACCGCACCCGGCGTCGTAGCCGTTGCCACCAACGCTGCCGCCGCCGCCGTCCCGGTGGTCGTCGCGGATCCAACAACATGCTGACCCCGCTGACGGTTCGATGCAGGTGACAGTCTACTAAACGGCGTATCGACATACTCGTTAGTAAGCCTTTCGTTCTCTGGTCTAGGTGCAGCCAGGGTGACCGGGGATGAGGCGGACGTTGTCGTCGTGTTCGACGCGGTCGTCTCTATGCTGGGGTTCAAAATGCTCGGTATCGAGATGGTTGGTAAAGCTGCCGGTGGACGTCGTCGCGAGAAGGTACTTGCTGGCTGGGCTAGACTATTACTAACGTTATTACTACTAGGAAGATGGTGGTGGCTCGTCGTATGTTGCGGATGATGATGCTGAAGATGGTGACTACTACTGCTGAGGCTGCTGCTGTTGCTACTGCTTCGCGTGTGAAGTGGCGTCAGGGGTGCAATCTGCGGCGCCGGTGGCAACGGCGGTGGAATTGATGAACTAATATTGCTACTAAGGTTACGTGCAGGGGAACTGGAAGAGCTTAGATTCCTAGGTTTTGGTGACAGTTGCGGTACGTTATTGAGACTTCGATTCGTAGTCGTACTGATCGTCGTATTAGCGCTGTTGATAGCTGTAGATTGGTTGCTGTCGGCAGCGACTTGGGCGCTCATTATGGTCGGCTCGGGAGCCCGGGGACGATGGACACGGGGCAGAGACTTAGGGGGCCGAGGAGGCGCCAAAGGATCGCCGCCATTTCTGCGATCCATGTAGCTCGTTACACTAGCGGCTTCGATGTGTTGTCTTCAGCCGTGGTCCACCAAGATCCGTCATCGTTTTAATCGCCTTCTGCAAGAGAGAAATCACAGAGAAACGAAAAGACATTCATTAGTGTTTTGTGGTTGCCGTAAATCATGGTGGCGGCGGACAACGCGGCAGCAGTTTCGTTATGACCGATAACGGCTCCGCGGTTGTCCGTCCATTACTGCGCGCCGCCCAGGCGAAATCAACACACATCGGAGAGACAAGTAAACAGAGACGAAATCGATTACTGACTGATATCGCGTCTCAGTCTGTTGGTCAGCGGGCGATTCGAACCTCCCCGAGAGATATATACATATATTGGGTTTCATTCAGTTTGCCGAGGGAACATGGTTTATGGCAGTAAAAAAAAAAAACTTGAGTCAGCCGAAAAACGACACCCAATAAATGGCTAAAATGACAAATCGATCAGCTGGCAGTGCTGCCAAACTGCAAGCAAAAGATCACTTAACGTTGTGTTTACATTTTAATCTGGGCAAAGCTCGGTGGCTGATGCGATCGAATCGTTCGATGATGATCAATGTCAATGGACTGTCTGCCGGCCGACTGACTGACTGTGCACGGTGGAGAAAGAGTGGCGAAGAAGAACAAAGAATTCTACGAATGCTTAGAATTTTATTCCCCGGGACTACGCTGCTAATTCTTCTCCGATTGCCTTTTTTTCGGCCATTCGTTTGTTCGTTTCGAATGGAATGCTGACTGTCCGGTATTTTTATTTTTTATTTTTTTTTCTTAGGTGTGCGTGCGACGACGACGACGACGACGACGATAGAGACGATGAGTTGTTGTTGTTGATTACACTGGCGTCAGGGATATTGCTGGCTGCGCGTCTTGTCGCATTGCCCGTCGTCTCCTCGAAGATAGTTTCGTTGAGATAATGAATAAATAAAACCGTTTTTCGTCAAGTCATACCCGGGCGACGAAATTAGTTCTCTTCTACTGATCTACATTTCGCACAATGTGTGTCACACATTTGCGACTGCGATCGGGGCGGTGACGATCGTCATGGCTTCCGGTTTCAGCATTAGCCGACCGCGAGATTCGAAATGAAATTGAAATTGAGAGCTCCAGAAGTGTGCGGAATCGAACGAAATAAACGGACGGAGCGGAGCCGCCCGGCTAAAAATACATCACCCTGTGAATGAATGTTTGGCATACATAGCAGCATAGCATGCCTACGTTTGGGATGCCAACGAACGGACAAAGCGATAACAATTGTGACATGTTGAGAGCGCTCAGCGGGAAGCGAACTTTGCGATAGAAAAACACATGTTCAGTTAACCCAAATAGCCGTCAAATACACATTCACTCACTCACTCACTCACTCGTGCTCTTTTGCGTGGAGCTCCGGCTACTAGCAGTGGTACATATGCCCTATTGATGATCGCAGTGATCGCGTATATGAAACGAGCTGCAATTAGTGAGTTGCCACACATTTCTGACTACTGCTGCGGCGGTCGATCTAGTTGGCAAGGTATTTCTTGGAAGCAAATTATAGCATGCGGCGGACTACATTTCGCAGAGCTCCATCCAGCAAAAGAAGTGAGACGGAAAATATCAACTGCACGGGACTGGAAAATTGCTTCCGTGATCCATGAAGTCGTGGCTTACGGTGCTGTGCGATGTTTAGGAGAATAAACTAACTTCTATATAGGCGTGCATTCAGTTACGGTCACGATGATTTCTGTTAAGTGTCAAATGTGATGTATACCTTCAACCGGGGTAACATATTTGCTGAAGCACTTTCTCTATCTCTTCAGCGCGAGTCTGTCCAACCAACGAACTGATGTGGGCACGTGCCTCTACCTCTGCCTCCGAGCCGAACAGAACTCGCCCATGTGGGCGGCGTTGAAGAGCTACGACTGTATGGCTCGCCCGGAGTTAGTTTGAAGCCAAATAAAAGATATATACCTACTGACGGGCGAATAAAAACCCACGACCGGCGACAGTTTTGACATAAGTTGGACATCCGTGAGGGGACGACGTGCAAGGCAGCACACTTGGGAAGCAAAAATGGACGAAAAAGCGCGCGTGGGCGTTCGCCCCTTCTTATAGCGTATCTGACTGACTGACGTGTGTGAGTGCGAAGGTCATCGGAAGAATAGGGGCGCACTTGAGGACGCCCCCGCATACTGTCATCGTCGTCGTCGTCCAGGTGAGGAACAAACGTGGCACCTGTCTACTGCGGCGATGAACTCTGGCGGGTATTTATTTTCTCTGACCCATCAACTGCTATTGGAAAGAGAAAAAAAAAATATTTAGGAACGCATCATCCGTTTGCCCGATTCGGATTTATTTTCGGAGCGTAGGCGTCAAGCGTCTGTGCTCCTCCTATCCCTCTCTCTATCGCTCTGTTTGTCGAAATGAGCTGAAAAAATCGAGAAAAAAAGTCCATTGACGTAGGATGGGAAATTCCACTTAGCTTTCCTCAGACCGAACATCGGAGAAGGTTTCTGCCAGACCGGGAGGGATGCTTCGGATGCAGGTGTAAGTACCTACTCTTTGATGGTATTTTTAGCCGTGTGGTTAAAAATAAACACGAGAAAAAGCGATCATGCCGGGCAGGCGAGACTTGCTTGAGCATTTTTTGATGGGAAATACTCGTTTTAGAATTGATCTGTTTTCCATAGAATTTCAACATCACTGCCCGCCACCTATCCCGCCTTCACAAATTACAAAGGCCATGGCCTACCTACACCGATATTCGTACCCGTCAAGGAACAGCAGCAATCATCAGCACCGTGAGTGAGAGCAATGACAAACGAACCACGACAAAAAAAAAAAAAATCGCGAAACCAAGTATACTGCTCGCACGCCCCGAGGGACCATAGCAAAGAGACGAAAATATTCATTCATTCATTCATGCAAAAAAGTTCCCCCGCCAGCACGTGCCCATCGAGCAAATCCCGCCACCACCACCACCACCGCCACTCGTTTGCCGTTCAGCGCGCACCCCGGCGGGTAGACGCATTTTTCGGGATCTATCGCCACAGATCGACCACCACAGCCTCCTGCGAGCGAGCGCGTTAAGGTGAAACTATGTAAATTAATATTATAGTTTTATTTTCCTTCATTAAAGCGACACACAACAACATCAACAACAATGAACCAAGATACCACTCAGCTCTCCCGTTTTCGCTCTTCTCAGTTCCCCGTGTCCCGCGCCTGAACAAGAAGAACTGGTTTCCAATCATAATCGTCTCCGCCGCGGCGACCGCGCGCCATCTTTCTCCCATACACCGGTGTAGGACCGCGCTCGGTTGAGCTACCGTGTTGACGACGACGATGGTTCCGCATGCGGGCAGTGTTGCCAAATTTTTCGCTTCAAGAGTCTTTTACCTGCGTAAAAGTTGGCAAGTTAAAAAAAAATCTGTATTGGAAAATTAAAAAAAAAAAACTAAAGAAAGAAAACTTTTGCAGACGAATCTGTATAGGTGGCAACACTGCTGCAAACATGCACTTTGCCGTCGCTGAGCTCTGATGCAAGGCTCGGCAATAATTTAGACCGTAATTTTCTTATTAAAGTGGCGTCAGTCAGTGATATTTGATTTATTTTTAATTTGTATGGCAGATTTAGCGATTCCGTTCACGTTGTCGCAGAGTGCGATGCGATGCGACACGATGACGACGCGTGTTGCCTTAAGTGTGTCCGTGTTTTCGAATCGAATCTAACCTTAAACATATGTGAATAGATTTGTTGGTAAACAACGACTCATCTTAAGCTGTTAAGCTTATTTCTGAAGGATCTCACTGTTGGTTCAAAATTAAAAAAAAAAACAAATCAGACATTTGAATCTGATACCCAACCTAAGCAGGATCAAATATCTAGATACCTTAAATTATTATGGATGAGCCTGACCAAAAATAAAACAAAAAAAAAATTCCCACTGTACCATTCCAATGCCAAATTATTCAAATGCAATACCAAAACAAATGCCACACAGGTATTCTCTAGGTATGCAAGTATCAATTTTAGCTATTTACAAAGTATTTTGCATTCAGTTTTTGGTATTATTCTTCGGTATTTAACCTCTTCTGTCATGCTGGTCAATACCAACTTTTGGCATCAGGTCAGAATTAGGTATTCATTAGTTGTTTTCACCTGCTCGGAAACTTTAACCTCTTAGAATTCCATGAAAGGTTGCATAATTATTCGCCATGAGCAATAAACCAAGTTTGTACTGTAATTCGCTTATTTTGAATCGCGCCTAAGATTTCAAAATGGCGTATTTTGTATTTTTCAATAAATCATAGCATGAAAACGGCTTTTCTAATCCAGCATGACGTCTGAGACAAAGTAGTTGGAAACTGGAATGCTTTACAAAAATAAAAAATAAAATAGCGCAAATTTTGGTATAAAAAAAAGTTGAGAAGAGTTGATGAATATTTATTAAATCCAAACAGCCACACATTCGTCATTCCATTTGTTACGTAATTATTACAAGGTTATCTTGATGACGTTTTATGTGTTGATAATTATTATAACACTCTTGTAGCATGTTATAACCCTGTAGTCTGAACAAGACATTACATTACGTATTATGTGCTGTGTACACATCAAACTGATGAGCGCTGGTAGAAAGGGCACTCGTTTGTGATGCATTACCACGTTTGAAAATTAGTCTTCAACAAAAAAAAAAAAAAAAAAAAAACAAACTTAAACAAACAGAACAAATTCCTAAAAAAAATACGGAGGCTGGTACGCCGCTGAAAAGAGAACGGAAAAGGATTTTTGAGTATTATTCCCAAAAGTGTGGTGTAATTTGTTAAATTTTGAGATCATAGCGTGGTGCCGTCAAACGATTTTAAACAACAATACTTAGTTTTCATGTTGTTAAAATGCATCCAAAACTATAGTTTTGCAAAAACCGTCAAAATTACCTAACGAAATAATTCATCAGATCATTATTCCGCAAGGAAAGTGAAATTTAAATCAGAATGTGTCACCTTCATGTCAGTCGCAATACTAATGTAATCGATCTTTGCTTTACCGATTAATTTCTTTAGCATTCCGTGTCCCACCCCGT